GACTAGATGTACGCCTCGGTACGCTGTACATCTACGCTGAGATGGAGTCTTGCTCTATTGCCCAGGCTGGAGTGCAGTGGTGAGATCTCAGCTCACCACAACCTCTGCCTCTTAGGTTCAAGAGATTCTCCTCCCTCAGCCTCCCAAGTTGCCAGGACTACAGGTGTGCACCACCATGTCCAGCTAGTTTTTGTATTTTTAGTAGAGATGGGGTTTCACTATGTTGGCCAGGCTGGTCTGGAACTCCTGACTTCAGGATCCACCTGCCTCAGCCTCCCAAAATGCTGGAATTACAGGTGTGAGCCATTGTGCTCAGCCTAAGATTGTTGTGAATATTAGTGTAATTGCTTAATGGGTTCACCTTCTCTACTACCTAGACAGACAGGTGAATGCAATAGAGAAAGAATAATTCACAGAGAGCTGGCTGTGCAGGAAACAGGAGTTTTATTATTACTCCAAGCATTTGGAGTAATCATAAGCAGTTTCCCCGAGCATTTGGGGATCAGTTTTTAAGGATAATTTGGTGGGTAGGGGGAGACCAGTGAGTTGAGAGTGCTGATTGGTTGGGTTGGAGATGAAATGTCTTCTTGCCCTGAGTCAATTCCTGGGTGGGGGCTGCAAGATAAAATGAGCCAGTTTATTGATCTGAGTAGTGCCAGCTGATCCATCAAGGGCAGGGTCTGCAAAATATCTCAAGCACTGATCGTAGGCCTTACGATAGTAATGTTATCCCCGGGAACAATTTGGAGAGGGTTGGAATCTTGTCATCTCCAGCTGCATGACTCCTAAGCCATAATTTCTGATCATTTGCTAATTTGTTAGTCCTACAAAGGCTGTCTAGTTTCCAAGCAAGAAGGGTGTTTGTTTTGGGATAGGGCTGTGATTGTCTTTGTTTTAAACTAAAAGCTATAAACTAAGTTCCTTCCAAAATGAGTCCCAGGAATGAACAAGGACAGCTTGGATGTTAGAAGCAAGATGGAGTTTGTTAGGTCAGATCTCTTTCGTTGTCTCAGTTATGTATGCAATGACAGTTTGATTAGAAGGAATATAAATGGGATTCTGTGACTAATCATCGCTGCCACGTGCTGCAGTGTCTGGCACTGTGCAGTAGTTGTCATTGTGCCTGAGAGGGAGGGTGAAGCTGGAATCCCAGAGCCCACAGAGGAGGCCTGCCTGGAAGTGACTCAGCACCGTCTACCAGCCTTAGCACGGGTTGAGTGGACACTCCGCCTGCAGGTATCAATCTTCCCATGGCGGTTGCTGGGAGAAGCAGCTGCTGTGTCAGTGTTTTACTTCCTTCAGACTCAGCTGTTCCCATCTTGCTGAAGAAGGGCAGGCACCCCATCTAGAAAACAGAAATCAAGAGCTAATTACAATCTAGAGAAGTGTTATCGTGAATCAGCAAGATCCCTGAGATGAGGAGGAAACACTGCTTTGCGATCTTGAGATCTCATGATCCTGGCTCTCTCTGATGATCACAATTGGCTTCAGGGTCCCTCGGAGCACAGAGGCTGTGATGCTCCAGGTGGTCACCTATCTGATTCTAGCCTGCAGTTGGTTCACTTGCTTTGCCATCCTGACTATACCCGGAATCCTTTTTTAATTTTCCTGCTAAGACTATTTTCAGCCGGGCATGGTGGCTCACTCTTGTAATCCCAACACTTTGGGGAGCCGAGGCAGGCAGATTACTTGAGGCCAGGAGTTCAAGACCAGCCTGGCCAACATGGTGAAACCCTGTCTCTGCTAAAAATACAAAAATTAGTTAGGCATAGTGGCGGATGCCTGGAATCCCAGCTACTCGGGAGGCTGAGTAGGAGAATCGCTTGAACCTGAGAGGCGGAGGTTGCAGTGAGCTGAGATCACACCACTGCACTCCAGACTGGGCAACAGAGGGAGACACTGTCTCAATAAAAAAGAGACTATTTTCACGAAAGTCTTTAGGTTGGCTGCTATAAGGAAAAGGCAAGATGGCAGGTGGGTGGGGTGTAGGAAGTACCAAATGAGATGGAGTGAATCAGGATGTCGGTAGGGAGCCGGGGCCTGATGGGGCTGGGAGGGCAAGTTGAACAGGATCTGGCTGGATGTGAGGGAGGCTGGAGCAGACCTGGAACTGGAGGTTGTGCTGGTCGGGCAGGGCTGCTGCCATCACACAGTGCCACACGCTGGGTGGCTCAAACAACAGAAATTCATTTCCTCACTGTTCTGGAGGCTGGAAGTCCCAGATGATGGTGTCAGCAGGACTGGGTTTATCTGAGACCATTCTCGTGGCTTGCAGGTGGCAGTGTCCCCTGGGTCCTTCATGATGTTCGCCCCTCTGTGTGTGTCTGCATCCTAATTGTTCTGATAAGGATTGTGTGCATATTGGATTAGCGCCCATCCTAATGACCTCATTTAACCTTAATCACATCTTTAAAGACCCTCACGCCACATATTCTCAGGTACTGGGGTGAGGCCTTAGCACTTGAACTTGGGGGAACACACATTCAGTCCATAAGAGAGAGTGAGGGAGCCAGGGGTTGGTGGCATTTGGACGCTGCCTTGCTTTCCGTGAGAATCAGTCAAGTAAGCTGGTCAGTTTTTCTTAAATCTTCAGACACAGAAACAGCAGCAGTTGGGAGACTATTTTCTCTCCGCAGGACAGTGTTCGAGTTCCTGATTGTAGAGTGTGTCATTGTAATTTTCTTTGCTTTTTTTTTTTTTGAGATGGAGCCTTGCTCTGTCATCCAGGCTGGAGTGACCTCTGCTCACTGCAGCCTCTGCTCCCGGGTTCCAGTGATTCTCCTGCCTCAGCCTCCCGAGTAGCTGGGACTACAGGCATGTGCCACCACACCTGGCTAATTTTTTGTATTTTTAGTACAGGCGGGGTTTCACTGTGTTAGGATGGTTTTGATCTCCAGACCTTGTGATCCACCAGCCTCAGCCTCCCGAAGTGCTGGGATTACAAATTTTGTTTGTTTGTTTGTTTGTTTGTTTTTTAGACAGGGTCTTGCTCTGTTGCACAGGCTGGAGCACAATGGCATGCTCATGATCCATTGCAGTCTCGACCTTCTGGGTTCAAGTGATCCTCCCACTTCAGCCTCCTCAGTAGCTGGGGTCACAGGCATGCACTACCACATAGGGCCAATTTTCATATTGTTTGTGGAAATGGGGTTTTACCATGTTGCCCAGGCTGGTCTCAAACTCCTGGGCTCAAGTGATCAGCCCACCTCACCTCAGCCTCCCAAAGTGCAGGGATTCCAGGTGTGAGCCACTGCACCCAGCCTAATTTTCATTCATTGTTCTCCTCAATAATCTTGCCAGCAGGATCTTTGATGATAAAGCAGTAAGAGTTCAGGTGATTGGTTAAGACTATAGTTCAAATTGCTAATGGCTGAGCACACACTGTGATCCATTCCTCAGTACAAATCCCACATTAGGCAGAGTCTTACAGTCAGGGGCTGGTTCATATTGAAAATCTTCAGCTTCCTATCTTCCCTTCACTACTCAGTTTTTGTCTCCTCTATGGCAGTTTTCTCCCAGGTCTCTGAACCTGATCTTTTTTTTTTTTTTTTTTTTTTTTTTTTTTTTTTTTTTTTTTTTTTTTGAGACGGAGTTTCACTTTTGTTACCCAGGCTGGAGTACAATGGCGCGATCTCGGCTCACCGCAACCTCCGCCTCCTGGGTTCAGGCAATTCTCCTGCCTCAACCTCCTGAGTAGCTGGGATTACAGGCACGCACCACCATGCCTAGCTAATTTTTTGTATTTTTAGTAGAGACGGGGTTTCACCATGTTGACCAGGATGGTCTCGATCTCTCGACCTCGTGATCCACCCGTCTCGGCCTCCCAAAGTGCTGGGATTACAGGCTTGAGCCACTGCGCCTGGCCTCTGAGCCTGATCTTTATTGGCCTTTCTTGGAAATATTATAATCATTATTTCCCACATTGTTCCTTGTCATTCTCTTATTTGCATCTTTGACTAATGTTTAATTTCCCCATTTACTTTATCCCACCGGATGTCACCCTAAATAACAAACAGAAAGAGGATCCCTAAAAGAAAATGATGGGGCCAGATGCAGTGGCTCACACCTGTAATCCCAGCACTTTGGGAGGCTGTGGTGGGTGGATCACTTGAGGCCAGGAGTTCAAGACCAACTTGGAGGTCAGGAGTTTGCCTGGCCAACATAGCAAAATCCCATCTCTACAAAAAAACCCACAAAAACTAACTAGGCGTGGTAGCACATGTCTGTAGTCCCAGCTGGGAGGATCATTTGAGCCTGGGAGGCAGAGGTTGCAGGGAGCCAAGATGGTGCCACTGCACTCTAGCCTGGGTGATAGAGTGAGACAGTGTATCAGGAACAACATAAAGAAAAGAAAAGAAAATGATGCTTATGGCTGGGTCCAGTGGCTCACACCTGTAATCCCAGCAATTTGGGATGCCAAGGCTGGCAGATCACCTGAGGTCAGGAGTTCGAGACCAGCCTGGCCAACATGGCGAACCCCTGTCTCTACTAAAAATACAAAAATTAGCCAGGCATGGTGGCCTGTACCTGTAATCCCAGCTTCTGGGAGATTGAGAGAATCACTTGAACCCAGGAGGCAGCAGAGGTTGCAGTGAGCTGAGATTGCGCCACTGCACTCCAGCCTGGGCCACAGAGCGAGAATCCATCTCCAAAAAAAGTGAAACAAAAAGAGAAAATGATGCTTATTTAGGAATAGGGAATTACAGTGGGAATATGTGTGCCATAGTAAACTATGTGTGTATTCAGGTTGGTAAAGGAAGACAAAGATTTTTAAGGGAAAAATGAGAAGTGTTACACAACTGTTTTGAAATCATTATCCTTGAGTACAGGATCAATGACAAGGGTGATGCCAGTCTGTGGTTGGGCAGGCAGTGGCTAGGCAGGTGATCGCATCACACAAAAGTATTTTTTTGTGTAGGGTTGCAGTGGTTTTTGCAGTCTTTGTGGTAGTTTTTGTTATCAGACATACAAGCATTGAGAACCCTCTCTTTAGAACTTTCCTTGGCTGTTTTTCAGAATTGTTTTGTTTCGTTTTCCTTTTTAACACAAGTGACTTGATTTTTCTTTTCTTTCTTTCTTTTTCTTTTTCTTTTTTTTTTTTTTTTTTGAGACAGGGTCTCACTCTGATGCCCAGGCTGGAGTGCAGTGGTGCAATCACAGCTCACTGCAGCCTTGAAGTCCTGGGCTCAAGGGATCCACCCATGTCAGCCTCCCAAACTGATGGGATTACAGGTGTGAGCCACTGCACCCAGCCATGATTTCATTTTTATTCTCACAACTTTCAAACTGGGGTAGTGTGTGCTTCTGAATTAATTCAAGAGTCTTCAGCTATCAAAGTAAAACTTCGCACGCAAATTCTCCTATTCAGGATGGAAGATTTCAGGATAGAAGATGGGATGAATCTCTGAGATCCCTGGGAAGCTCAAGTTGAACATGAGTGTAAATGTGTGCATCTAATCTTTTCTTTAAAACAAACAAAAAATATATATGCATACATACACACATATTAACACAGATATACATATACTTTTTATATAAAACATGATTATTACAAAAATTCAAACAAAGCAAAAAGTGAAAGATCTTCTTAGGCTAATCTCATTCCCTAGAGGTAACTATTCTTAAAAGTTTGGGGTATATTTTTCTAGACTTAAGCTCCACTGTATACTTAAGATCTGTAAATATTGCTGGTGCGGTGGCTCATGCCTATAATCCCAGCACTTTGGAAGGCTGAGACGGGCTGTGGTCCACATGACATAGATGCACTCGAATTGAGCTACTTAAGATGGCTTAAGCCCAAGAGTTTGAGATCAGCCTGAGCAACATAGCAAGAATCATCTCTATAAAATAAATAAATAAACATGATAGATTTATTTTATTTTAAGATTTACTCTTTGTGGGGTCCTGCAAGCCATGAGATTAATCTTAGCTGAGCAGAGCTGACTATTTCCTGTGAGATCATGTATAACAGACTAAGAGAGAATAAATACAGAGTGTTTTTATGTTTTTTAAAAAATTCTTTTGCAGATTCTGCGTCACTCTTTCTTCTCTCATGCTCTTGACCCAGAGGGTCACGTCCCTCTCTCTGGACGTTTGTGAGGGAAAAGTGGAGATAGCATCTGGAATCATCAGGAGCAGAAGCTCTTTGTCTGAGCATGTGTGTATGGCACTGCCCTACTTCAGCTACTTGCTCTTTTTCCCTGCTCTTCTGGGAGGCTCTTTGTGCTCCTTCCAGCAGTTTCAGGCTCGTGTTCAAGGGTCCAGTGGTTTGTATCCCAGGCACTCTTTCTGGACTCTGAGCTGGAGGGGTCTGCAGATTCTTGGATTAGAGTGCCTAAACGTGGCTGTGAGCAGGGTGGTGGGTGCAGGAGTGGGACTGACTGATTGCCAGCGATTTGAGTGCATTTATGTCATGTGGACCACAGCTGGGCTCTTCAAGCTCACCTACTACTCCCAGTGGATCCTGGACGACTCCCTCCTCCATGCAGCAGGCTTTGGGTCTGAGTTTGGTCAGAGGTCTGGAGAGAAGGAATATGTCCCTGATGCAGACATCTGGACCCTGGAAAGAACCCACAGGATATCCGTGTTTGCAAGAAAGTGGAACCAAAGCACAGCTCAATGGCTCCGACGACTTGTATTCCAGAACAGCAGGGCTTGGCCATTGTTTCAGACATTTGCCTTCTCTGCCTGGTGGCATGGACTCCATCCGGGACAGGTGTTTGGTTTCCTTTGTTGGGCTGTGATGGTGGAAGCTGACTACCTGATTCACTCCTTTGCCAATGGGTTTATTAGATCCTGGCCGATGAGGCTGTTCTATAGAACCCTCACCTGGGCCCACACCCAGTTGATCATTGCCTACATCATGCTGGCTGTGGAGGTCAGGAGCCTTTCCTCTCTCTGGTTGCTCTGTAATTCTTACAACAGTGTCTTTCCCATGGTGTACTGTATTCTGCTTTTGCTATTGGTGAAGAGAAAGCACAAATGTAACTGACATCTTTCCCTGGCTTTCATCTTATACACCCATGAAACAGTTTAGAAAGTACCAGATTACTGAGACCAGCTCAGTCATAAAGACCAGCGCCCCTCCCGCCCCCCACCCAGCACCCACAGGTGGTGCTGAAGGAATTAAGAAACAGACACAGGGAAGTCCCCGCGCCGGCGCCATGTCAAAGAAAAAAGGATTGAGTGCAGAAGAAAAGAGAACTCGCATGATGGAAATATTTTTTGAAACAAAAGATGTATTTCAATTAAAAGACTTGGAGAAGATTGCTCCCAAAGAGAAAGGCATTACTTCTATGTCAGTAAAAGAAGTCCTTCAAAGCTTAGTTGATGATAGTATGGTTGACTGTGAGAGGATCGGAACTTCTAATTATTATTGGGCTTTTCCAAGTAAAGCTCTTCATGCAAGGAAACGGAAGTTGGAGGCTCTGGAATCTCAGTTATCTGAGGGAAGCCAAAAGCATGCAAGCCTACAGAAAAGCATTGAAAAAGCGAAAATTGGCCGATGTGAAATGGAAGAGCGAACTATGCTGGCAAAAGAACTTTCTTCACTTCGAGACCAAAGGGAACAACTAAAGGCAGAAGTAGAAAAATACAAAGATTGTGACCCACAAGTCGTGGAAGAAATACGCCAAGCGAATAAAGTAGCCAAAGAAGCTGCTAACAGATGGACTGATAACATATTTGCAATAAAATCTTGGGCCAAAAGAAAATTTGCGTTTGAAGAAAATAAAATTGATAAAACTTTTGGAATTCCAGAAGACTTTGACTACATAGACTAAAATATTCCATGGTGGTGAAGGATGTAAATTTTAAACTATTTCTAAATAAGTGTACTGAATTGTCATTTGCCTGTAACTGTATGTATCCTTTTATTAATGTTAAATAAAGTGTAAAATGCAAAAAAAAAAAAAAAGACACAAAGATAGAGTGCAAAGTGAGACTATCAGGGCTAACAGCCTTCCACGTTGAAAGCCTCAAGCAAACTTTGACCCACATATTTATTCTCTCTGAACAGGTGATTATTATTAACGAACAGGTGTTCTGTGTTTTCTCATAGAACAAAAATAAACTAGGCAGGTAGCTGGTGCCTGCTTACCACTGATCAAAGACAAACTAGAAAGCATTCTCCATGAGGGAGCCATGGGGGCAGGGTCATATATCCCATGCTTAAAGAACTAGTTTAACTGGTGTGTGATATATACATACTGTTTACTACTTTAGAACACCCTGAGCAGTTTTCTGCTTTGGGGACCGGCTCAGTTTTCCTTGCTGTCGTTCGCAGCAAACAATATAGTCCATCATACACTCAGCACCAAATGATGCATCCGTGATGCATACATTTGAATGTTTTCATAATAAAAAAATTTCTAAAGTTTTGGATGAATATACCAAATGACTTGCAGTATGGATGTGTGTGTCGACTTTAGCAAGCTCTTCTGCTGGTACTGAGGATACAAAAAGAAAAAGATGTGGTTTCTTCCCTTAAGGTTTATGGCCTAGATGTGGAAGCAAAGATTAAGTAAAGTGAAACATAAAAACACAAGGTGCTATGAACCAGATGGCAAATACTCTATATATAGACACCCCAAAATTGAGTGTTCAGTTGGCCCACCTGATCCTGGAGTGGGAACTTTAGCAACACAAAACCAAACCAAAACAAAACCTAACTCATTATCATATTGGTTTGTTATGTCAACTAGAGATTCATACCCATTCATAAGTTTGAAAATTTTGTCTAAATTTGTAAATGTGGGCCAGGTGCAGTGGCTCATGCCTGTAATCCCAGCACTTTACAGGGCTGAGGTGGGAGGATTACTTGAGGCCAGGAGTTTGAGACCAGGTTGGGTAGCAAGACCTTGTCTCAAAAAATATATGTATGTAATTGGGTGGGCATGGTGTATGCACCTAAAGACCTAGCTCCTCTGGAGGCTGAGACAGAAGGATCTCTTGAGCCCAGGAGTTCAAGGCTGCAGCGAGCTGTGATTGTGCCACTGCACGCCAGCCTATGATGACAGAGGGAGACCCCATCTGTTAAACATTTTTTTTGAAAATTTGAAAAAAATTTGTCCTAAAAATAGAATGGCTGACATTATTCCCAGATTTATGTTAATAAACTGAAAACCCACCTAAGACATGACAACTATTTACATAATTGTTAAATACAAAGCTGACTCATAAACATGCCTTATAAAGAGATCAATAACGGGAAGTAAACATTATTTCAATATAACTTTGAGGGTGAGTTTGATTCTTGTTTTCTTGGCATATCCTATATAACTTCCTCTGTTAGGATTTAAAATACAACAAGAGAAAGGTGTCAGGATGGCTGGGTGCAATGGCTCATGCCTGTAATCCCAGCACTTTGGGAGGCCAAGGCAGGTGGATCACCTGAGGTCAGAGTTTGAGACCAGCTCACCAACATGGAGAAACCCAGTCTCTATTAAAAATACAAAATTAGCCAGGAGTAGTGGCACATGCCTATAATCCCAGCTATTCAGGAGGCTTAGGCAGGAAAATTGCTTAAACCCAGAAGGCAGAGGTTTCAGTGAGCTGAGATCGTCTCATTACACTCCAGCCTGGGCAACAAGAGCAAAACTTTGTCTGAAAAAAAAAAAAGAAAAGAAAAAAAAGAAAGATATTAGGACTTCTAAATTATGCAGTAGCAATGTCACTTAACTAGCACTTAGAAATTACTGCCACATCTGCAGGTCACCTGTACTCCTATGTAATTACCATTTTTCTTTAATAAACTTTTTTTTTTTCTTTTTTTTTGAGATGGAGTTTCGCCCTTGTTACCCAGGCTGGAGTGCAATGGCGCGATCTCGGCTCACCGCAACCTCCGCCTCCTGGGGTCAGGCAATTCTCCTGCCTCAGCCTCCTGAGTAGCTGGGATTACAGGCACGTGCCACCATGCCCAGCTAATTTTTTGCACTTTTAGTAGAGACGGGGTTTCACCATGTTGACCAGGATGGTCTCGATCTCTCGAACTCGTGATCCACCTGCCTCGGCCTCCCAAAGTGCTGGGATTACAGGCTTGAGCCACCGCGCCCGGCTCTTTAATAAACTTTAATTCAACTTACTTATAAAACTTACCCCTCTTCTAAGCAATGGCAGTGACGAAAATTGGGTTTGGTTTGCTAATTCTATTTTACTCTAGTACTCACTAAAAGAAATAACATGCTCATTCAAATAAAAGAAACTGTTTGTGTGCTACATAAAATCATCTGCTTACCCAGGGTAACATCTATCCCACCATACAAAGCATTGTACAGGTATTTCAGCTTGTTGAGTATTCCAAACCCATCCTTCTCATCCTTTTCAAAATATAAAATTGCAAATAAGCTTTTTGATATGGTTTGAGTTTTTGTCCCCCCCCCCCCCCCCCCGCCAAATCTCATATTGAATTGTAATCCCCAGTGTTGGAAGAGGGGCCTGGTAGGAGGTGATTAAATCATGGGGGTGGATTTCTCCCTTGCTGTTCCTGTAATAGTGAGTGAGTTCTCACAAGATCTGGTTGTTTATAAAAGTGTGTAGCACCTCCCCTGTCCTTCTCTTCCTCCTGCTCCAGCCATGTAAAATGTGCCTCTTTCCTCTTCACCTTCCACCAGGATTGTAAGTTTCCTGAGGCCTCCTGTACAGCCATGCTTCCTGTATAGCCTGTGAAACCATGAGCCAATTAAACTTCTCTTTTCTTTATTAATTACCCAGTCTCGGGTGGTTCTTCTTCTTTTTCTTCTTTTTTTTTGAGACAGGGTCTCACTCTGTCACCCAGGCTAGAGTTCAGTGGCATGATTTCAGCTCACTGCAACCTCTACCTCCCAGGTTCAAGCAATTCTCCTGCCTCAGCCTCCCAAGTAGCTGGGACTACAGGCACATGCCACCATGTCCAGCGAATTTTTGTAGTTTTAGTAGAGCTGGGGTTTCACCATGTTGGCCAGGCTGGTCTTGAACTCCTGACCACAAGTGATCCATTCACCTTGGCCTCCCAAAGTGCCGGGATTACAGGTGTAAGCCACCACGCCTGGCCTCAGGTAGTACTTTATAGCAGTACAAGAACAGACTAATACACTTTGAATCATTTAAACTTCACAAAGATGATACTAAGTTGGAAACTATAGATCACTTAGAAAGTTATAGATGAATATTACTGATTAACATGAAGGCAAACAACAAGCCCAGTCTTAGCACTCAGAATGTAACATGATAAGCAGTGAGGGTCTTGATAAACAGAGATGGCAAGGATTTGTAGTGGCCTTGGTGGGGTGCAGTGGCGCATACCTGTAACCTCAGCACTTTGGGAGGCTGAAGCAGGAGGAGCTCTTGAGCCCCGGAGTTTGAGACCAGCCTGGGCAACATAGGGAGACGCCATCTGTATTAAAACACACACACAGACACACACACACACCCCCAAAAGTTGTAGTGGCCTTAATCAGGAGGGTTCTGTACTTTCTTTCACCATACTCAGCAGCTCAGAGGAGACAAAGTAGATAAATGGGGTTTCCCAGAGTTGGGAATAGTCAGAGACTCTGCCACAAAAAAAAGTGCTTTTTATTGGGGTACTTTTGGGAAGCTGTCTACATGAGTGTCTCCAGTTGATGATCCTTCGAGATGTACACTTTAGATGTGTACAGCTTTCCATATATATGTTACACTTCAATAATTTTTTTTTTTGAGACAGGGTCTGGCTCTGTCACCCAGGCTGGAGGGCAGTGGCATGATCTCAGCTTACTGCAACCTCTGCTTCCTGGGCTCAAGCAATCCTCCCACCTCAGCCTCACAAGTAGCTGGGAACACAGGAGTGCACAACTATGCCTGGCTAATTTTTTGTACAGATAGGGTTTCGCCATGTTGCCCAGGCTGGTCTTGAATTCGTGAGCTCAAGCGATCCAACCTCCTTGACCTTCCAAAGGGCTGGGATTACAGGCATGAGCCACCGTGCACAGCCCAGTAATTTTTTTAAGTGAGTACTATTCATGATTAGAGAAATGCTCATGAAAGAAATGTTAAATTAAAAAAAAAAAAAAACTTGGTTAACAAAGCCATTAAAAATGCAATCTGCCCTCCAAATCTATGTCCCCACTGATGGCCAGGGGTAATTTCTACTCCTCTGATTGGTTAGTCCAGGACATCTGCTTCCTTCTTTTTCTATTTTCATCCTGTAGAGAATGATTCATTTCTCTGGACGGTAGTAGAAGGAACATTTCTCTAGACAGTAGAAAGTAATTTGTGGCTGGGTGCAGTGGCTTGCTCCTGTAATCCCAGCACTTTGGAAGGCAGAGGTGGTGGGGGTAGGGGGTAGGGGGGTGGTCACCTGAGGTTGGGAGTTCAAGACCAGTCTCACCAACATGGAGAAACCCTGTCTCTACTAAAAATACAAAAAATTAGCTGGGCATGGTGGTGCCCGCTTGTAATCCTAGCTACTTGGGAGGCTGAGGCAGGAGAATTGCTTGAACCTGGAAGGCAGAGATTGCAGTGAGCCAAAATTATGCCATTGCACTCCAGCCTGGGCAACAAGAACGAAACTCCGTCTCAAAAAAAAAAAAAAAAGAAAAGAAAAGAAATTGATTTGTGGGAATTGATCTAAGGAGAGAAGTTGGAGCCAGAGATGTAGACTGGAGCCATCTGTCTGCACAGAGGACAGCCTGGATCCAAGACGGGCAGAGAACAGACTGTCTCCCTCCAGTCCTGTTTCTTTTGTTAGGTCTTAACTTGTTCACTTCCCAACTCCACCCCCGCTGCTCCCTCCCATTTGGAAACAGTTGCCCTATCCTGCGTTACCCATTCTGTTACTTCCAAGACTCTGCCCACTGTTCCTGAATTCCCTCTGCCACATGGCTGGTAGCACCTGCTTATTAACACCCCACCCCTCTTTTAAAAAAATTCAATCACTATC